CTGATCAAATTGTTACTTAATGTTGTACCACCTGATGAGTGTTAATATGGACTGATCAAATTGTTACTTTATGTTGTACCACCTGATGAGTGTTAATATAGACCGATCAAATTGTTACTTAATGTTGTACCACCTGATGAGTGTTAATATGGACTGATCAAATTGTTACTTGATGTTGTACCACCTGATGAGTGTTAATATGGACTGATGATGAAAAGTTTTGTTGATCTCCATTCCTTAGATCTTGTGGTGCTGATATCTTGTAGTTCTGATATCTTGTACTACTAGCATTTTTGAGTTCTGAAATCATGTAATTCTGACATGTAGTGCTGGCATCTTGAATCTCGTAATGCTGACATTTTGTAGTTATAATATCTTGTAGTGTTGACTGGAGTATTTTAGACATTGTTAAACAGAAAAGATTCATAATTTTCAAAGTTGTTTATCTACTCGAACTACTGAAGCTTCATTGGGACTCTAAGAGACCAAACTGGCATTATTAGAACTCTGATGAAACTTCAATGGTGAAACGTTGGTTCGGTTAAAACTGTGGCCCTTTTTTAGGTCCTATCAATCTTCTTGTTTACTCTCACAATATATTTAGATGTACATATTTAAATTTGAGTGAACAGTAAGCAATTTTGATTAATTTAGTATTGAAGTTAATCGAGACTCAATGAAAAAGTTGGATTAGAGTTCCTTCAGACAAAACAATTTCGAATTCCTCTGGCTTCGGTAAAGAATGCTTAAAACAAAATTATGGTTATCTATCCAACCTATAGTGCAGTGTGACGTGTGGACGAGGTCGTCGACAACGAATTGTCAACTGCATAGACGGCAAAGGTGACGCAGTGGCCGATAAGTTGTGTGGACCGAAACGGAAACCTAAATCCGTGCGTAGATGTAAGAGGATCCCAGCCTGTCCGTACTCGTGGATTCCTGATGAATGGACTCAGGTCAGAAGAACCAATAGTCACTAAACAAATTATATTTGGTTGTTATTTGAAAATTTAATAGATTAATTTATCACGTCTTTTTAAAGTTTTCTTTTTCAGATATATTTATTTAAATAAGATTGTAAACATAACCAATTCCGATGACTTCGGGGATTGTTTATTAATTAGCGTGCCCGGAATGTTAACCCAAAGATTCGTGGTTCGCGACAATCTCTCTCCGCACACTTTACGACCGTGGTTGAGTAATAAGATCCAACCGTGGGCTCTAGTAATAAAGGAAGTATGTGGACGAGAAAAGTACGAACTGTAATAGAAAATAAACAAGGTGAAACACTTGCCAAATTAAGATAAGTTTATTAACAGTGTTTGAGGCAACGACTCCTCAGCAAGTTTGCGCTGAGAACAAAACGATCTCTAGACGCCGGTCAAATCTCGTATTCTGTCAGACAATGGTAGCCCAACAGTTGATGGTAGGTGCTGTTGAATAGCTGCCTTTCCTAATCTGTATGTTAGTTCAATATCAGAGACTTTTATTAGTAAATAGTACTGTTGCGTATTTGCTTGTTTGATAATTTCCGGTAAAAATTCTTTCAGAGTGATTTCACCTATACAAGTCACTTCTTCATTAAAACTAGTTTATTTTTTCTCGCTACAAACTTTGTAATACACTTAATTTCCACAGTCACTTTAAACTTAACTACTTTTATAAACACGCGCTATAATTCACAGCGATTCACACACTTTACTTACGGTGCCTACTGTTTGCTTGACTCAATTATCAATTATTTCTCTTCAATCTATCTCCGGCTTATATACTAAAAAAGAGGGCGTCTAGCAAACGCTGGGACATTCGTGAGGTTGCCCGATAAGTCACGATCCTTCTAGAAACCCCAGCGCGCATGCTCCCAGCGTCGCGTGACTTCCACTGTCGTGACAGTACATTGTGTAGCTTTGCACAAAAGGTCAGAAAAAAATAGAAGAGTTCTATTTGAAATATTTGAGGTAAACTTGCATAATTACACAGATAATTTATATCAGTAACACACTTTCACTAACTAGCTCTTCTATTCTGACTTTAAATCGTTTCTAATTAATACTGTTACGTATCTACTCGTTTGTTAATTTCCGCTATAAAGTCTTTCCGAGGAACTTCAGCGATACAAGTCCTTTCTTAATTAAACCAGTTTATTTTTTCTCGATACAACTTTGTAATACACAATTTCCAATCAGTACGTTAAACTTAACTACTTTTATAACACACGCTATAAATCAGTGATTTTCACGGTGCCTACTGTTCGCTTGACTCAATTTTTATCTTCAATTCAATATTTTCGGTTTTTCTCGCCAGGCTTGTATATTAAAAAAGAGGGCGTCTAGCAGACACTCGGTCATTCGGTTCCTCGATAATTTATGATCCTTCAAGAAACTCCAGCGCCCATGCTCCCAGCGTCGCGTGACTTCCGCTGTCGTAACAATACTTTAACTTATAAAACTCTGTACGAACTTACGTTTGTTATTCAGACGGTTAAAACTGTTTGTTTCTTGTTAAGTACAAAGCAACACAATGGGCTAACTGTGCTGTGCCCACCAGGAGTATCGATACCGGAATTTTAACATTATAATCCCTCAGAAGTATTGCTGAGGCTAATGGACCACCTGTGCTGTGCCCACCGCAGTATCGAAACCAGAATTTTAGCGTTCTAATACTTCAGATTTACTGAAGGGGGACAATAGACTGTCTGTGTTGTGCCCACTTCAAAGATCGAATTTGCGTTATTAGCTTTCAAATTTACTTCCAAGTCACCACGAGAGGGGGAGGAGGGACCTGTCGAAAATAATTTACCAGTATATCTAGCGGCGATGGAAATAGACCTATGTTTCGTTGGTAATATTTTGTTCCATTGGCTGACGTTTATCTTAACCTAGTTGTGCAAAATGAAACTATAATATTTAGTTATCTGTGTAAAATACTAAGTGCAAAGTAAAGAAGCATCAGTTATGTACTCTGTGATATTTTGGTTAGTACAATTATAAACATGAGTAACAAATGAATTTTTAATGTTCTGAATTATTTCGCTTTTAATAGCTAGGTCGAGTCCTCTAACTAATAATTTTAAGCGACACGATACACCAGATCCCTTGAGGATTTTGCTTCTTACAACGTGATTCGTCAACCTTTAGCCAAATCAATTTGATCTAGTTCGGCAGAATATTTTGTATTACAGTAACGAAGCTGATGTGGCCTATATTATTACACTTGTTTATCTAAGTGTGTTGATAAATGATGACTTTAAAAATTAGTGTTTATCAGCGTTAATAATTAACGATGAGTAATTTTAACACTTTTCATTGGTAGTGTTCAAGTTCTTGTGGACCAGGAGTGCAACAACGAAGAGCTTTCTGTTATAAAGTCAACTCCTATGGGTGGGTGAATCCTGAACCTGTACCAGAATCGCTCGATAAGAGCGAGCCATGGTGTGACCGTGAAAAACGTCCTAAAACGACTAGGTTGTGCAACTTGGGCCATTGTAACAGTGGCGCTGTGTGGAAACCTTGGCCTTGGCGAGATGTGAGTTGGTCTACCTTAACTATATGTTTCTTGAAAACAACAACAAAAACAATCGAAGATTTATAAAATAATGCCAGATTTTCCCTTATTATATAAAGAATTTCATCCCTAAAACAAGCGAATTGAAATTTTTTAAAACAAACGTTTCGGCTCCATAAATCTAAAGTTTCGACGTTGCTTAAAGCAAAAAAAGAAGAAAAAAGTAGTTATCAGTATAGCGAAAATTCCAAAGGAAAATATTTTATTCTTTGTCGTTTCTTGTGAATTTTAAAATATTATTAAACTTTTTTGCATGTTCCTTCTATTCTAAATTTTTGTATGTAATTGTGTAATATGATATTGTTACGTCTCTGGTCGTTAATTGATTTTCCGTAAATTCGTTCCGAGGAAACTTTAGCGATACAAGTCCTTTCTTAAATAAAACTGGTTTATTTTTCTGAATATAACTTTGCGATACACTTAATTTCAACAGTCGCGCTATAACAAACGCTATAATTCTCAACGAACGTCTCACGTGCTCAACTTCAACAATACTCAGTTCAATTACACACACATTCTGTTCCGTCACGTTGTGACCGTCTTTGATATACGAGACTAACACATATCTAGTAAACGCTAGGGCATTCATGAAGGAACAGGATATTTCTAGAAGTCAATGACGTGGCGTGATACTAGTCACGTGACCTCGCTGACGCAACAATACCAACCTCTTGAAGGCCTTGTCACAGGTAAATATAATACACATTCATAATGTCTTGAGGGAAGTGTTTTAAATGGTTGAACACGTCGCAATCTGTAAACCACTGGCATATGTTTAAAATTTTGCTTACACAATAGACAGTGATTCCTAGTAACTTTCTTCGCATAGGCCTAGATACTTGTGTAGATCTGTCCATGCATAACTGAACATGACTGCGTTATGTATAGGTATATATATACATGCATACAAGTTACAGCATTATACTTCTTTTCTGACTATTACCTCATAGCTTTGTGTTTTGTATAACAATTTGAGAAAAAATCATGAAATTCTGCCTACTTTGAGTAAGTCCTGGGTCTATTGTTTAAAGCTGACAACAGTCTGTAGACTTCGTACTTTAAAGCAGTAAATAACGTCAGAGAAGAGGAGACAAGCCAGTGGATTCCAAAACGCACAAATCTTCTAAAATGAAAAGTTGCAGAAGTCTTCAAAAGTCACTAGAACCAATGAATCAACATTTGACATTCAAAAGTAGAACTGTGAGTATTGTTTGTTTTGAATTTTGCGCAAAGCTACACCTGCGCTAGCCGTCCCTAATTTAGCAGTGTAAGACTA